AAAGATACGCTTCGCCAAGACGACGACAACGACTATCTCGAGTGGCCGCACTCGCCGACTTCGCCTCATTATGCTCTTCCACTTGGATAAATTTGACCTAGATATATCTTCGGGGAAGCTGCTAGAGGGTTCACGCTGATCGAGCGACCAATCAAATCTCTATCGACTTTGAGAGACGGCAGCAGAACATTAGCGGGCGTCGCGAAAGCAAGCGGATGTGACTTTTTTACCTCTCTCTCCCTCTGTCTCTCTTTATTTTTGACAGATATTCACGCTCGCCTAAATCTCGCCAATTTCTCATGAAAATGCGATGTATACTCGAAATCAACGTGCGGGATTCGTTCTTCGTCCTAGTTGTCTGTTTGGCTTGATAACATATTTTCTATCTTCTTCGTTCCATTCATAAAGCTCGTGCGAGCACGATTCGCGTGATCGATTCCTCGGCCGGGTATAATTATAAACGTCGCATGGGAAATCACGGTTCACTCGGTAAACATTATGTACATACGTCGCGCGGAGTCTTGATAAATATTTGAATAAATTACGAGAAGCTCGTGTCGCTTGTGCGGCATGAAAACGAAGGGCTATTCGGCGAGCAAACTTATTTGTTTTTACCACTCGGGTAGGCCATACGTCACCGTGGTGCGTTTTCCACGAGCTTTGGCTTTTCAGTATATTTCCAATCATTCTCCGTCGTCCCGATATTGAATTTGCTACCGGTAAAAATCGAATAAGTCGTCGTCGTCATTGGCGAAGCCCCCGTGGAAATATCCATCTGAATTATTTCCAGCCATTAAACTAATCGAAGCCGAAGTGCGCGCTCAGTCAGTGACTCATTGGAAAATGGTTCGCGACTCGACTAACTTATTTTGTCGAAAATTACCAGCTAGCGCCTGTGCCGCGTTTCTCGGAATCAGTGCGCTAAACCTTTCGACGGATAGTGCAAAAACCTAGTTCCACACCGATGCGCGCACACGAACACACTGCGAAAGGAAAAAAAAAAAAAGAAATACGTTTTCATATAGAGTCACAGAGAAAATGAGAGTAGATTATTAGAGGCCGACAACGGCCTATCGATTCCGCCTATATTTGTAACGCTCGCACACAGGTACACACGTAGCCCAACCGCGATGCTCAACTCGTTACGCGCAGCCGGTCGATACACCTGTAACGAGAGCAATTCTCACATACAGGCGCGCACGCACGTATACAAATACCTGTACAGTTATAACTGACTTCACCTGTGGCCGGAAGTTATACATGACCGACTGCGACGATATACGAGCACTACTATCGCGGACAGGCAAAAGCTGATTGATGAGCACGCTCAGGATTCGGGCAGTTTGAGCAATGAGAGCGGTCACGTCTCTTTTACAAGGGCTGCGCGCTGTGTACAACACCACAGTGCCCGCGCAGCCACACAAAGCGAAAACGCGTCCAACGCAGACGGATTCATACATGCGCGCGCTCGCGACTCTGCGGGAACGGGGTCTTGAGGAGGATTTTGTCTGTCTGTCTGTGTGCGTTTCTGTGTGTTGGTGTGCTTGGATGGTGTGCAGGCTTGTATATCTTCATCGATGTATTTTTGCTGTGGTCTTTCTATATATTCTACCTCTGTGTACATGTGTTTCGATGTACGCCAAGCCATTGTCAACGAATGGAGGGTACCGAGTCTTGTACCTGTGTATGTTGTCGACATAAACCAGATAGGATTAAAGTACTAAGGCCTCTTTGTCAATAAAAAACATTCTTTTAGCGAATCAATAGGGCTGTTTTTGAGTGCCTGACGTAAATCAGAATCTTTTTTTTGGTGCTATGTGCTATTTGTAATGATTTACTGCCTTGTTATGCTATCCTAATGGAAATAATTTGTTCTCCGAAAGAGAGGCTTTGTCAGAGAAATGCGTCCTGCAGCTTATTACATAAAAGCTCTGCGCTACATTTTTTTGAAGCAAAAAAAATTTATTCAGCAAGTAAATTTCACATTTCTATTAAAAGCTTTCTCTGTTATAATTCTGTTATACATAAGAACAATATCACATTAGATTAATAATTACATGTGTATGTTGTGTACGTTCGATTTGCAGAATTCGTCAGAAGGAAATACAGCAACGTGTAAATCTGCAGAAATTAAACTTTTCATATCTAGATGCAATATAGTACTACTATCGTTTCCTTGGAACTAAAAATACGTAAAATTTTAATTGAGTTACGATCGAGCAGCACTTTGTCAATGAAAAGAATGGATTCGTTGACTTTTCTTTCTTAAAATAAATATTCAACGACGCTATTAGCTCTTCATAGAAAGTAGGTATGGAAGCACAAAAGCGCTCTTTGCCGAGTTATCTTTTGTCGAGAATCCATCCGGAAATTTAATTATTAATTGGACAATGGCAACAAAAAAGGAGTTCGTACTTATGTCAGGCACTTATCGTATATCTCAGGTATAAATCTAAGAGCTAGGTCAATATATAGAAGATCCGCGCGACCGATTCGTTTGCCCCGATCGCGTGCGCCTACTTTCAAAAGCCCGTGTGGGAAAGGTCGTAGTGTTAGAAAAATTATAAAATCATACGCCATCCGAAGGGCGATTTTCACGTGGCAATGAAAAGAACGCATAGAAGAGTAAGAGAAAGAAAAAAAAGTAGAAGAGGACGAAGATAAAAAAAGAAGAAGAAGAGTAGAGGAAGAAAAAAAGCCTTGGAGAGCGCTGAGGAGCGAGTACCGAGTGCGGGAGACGAAGATGAGCGAGAAAAAATGGAAAATGGAGAATAACGGCGTGGATGAATATTGATCAGATAATCAGCTGGTATCGAGCTCTTCAAGGATTTGGAGAGAGTGTGGCCCTGAAAAAAGGAAACTAGGACGATTCATATGTATGAGTGTCAGCCACGCTTTTCTCTCTATCGCTCTATCGTTCTGGCAACCTCCTCGTGGGATTCTCTCTTCTCTCTCTCTCGTACTAACTATTCTAGAGCGGCTCACCCACCGAGGATATAATATCGACGACAGCAGCCCAAGTCTCAGTAGCGTCTCCAATGACTCATACATTATTCATAAGATTAATACGACAAGGGAAACGATTTTGAAGAATGGCAATTCATGTCGACCACCGGATACGATGCAAGTGGAAGCCAATTAATTGGGATTTTTTCCAAGATCGTTATCTTTTATATATATACATATTCCGGTCACTTGCTAATTCAGCCAAAGAACAAAGTTGAATAATGCGCCGCTGCCTGGTGTTTCGATATCGAGTTCGAGCGCGCACGAGGATTGTTTCAACAGTCATAAATTATGGCGGCGCGCTATCAATTATGCCAGAGTAGACAGCAGCCCATGACTGCTGGCAATATCATTATATATCCGGCGATGAGGGTTGCGCGTGTATAAAGTCACACAAATTCATATTTATACAGATATATTAATATATAGAATTGTGTACTTTGATCTGCTTCCTATTACTCTATTCTTCTTCTTTTTGTTCTCTGCTTATACATCACTTCGTACGCTTTAATATCATATGCTGCTTCATATCAATGATAATTATTATTGGTTTTGTACGCTAAATACGTATGAACGCTATGTGGATCAGACCTACCTACGTTTTTCGATAAGGTCGCATCGAGGTGCACACACGTATACATCAGAGAGTTGCGCTCGTTAGATATGTCACTTTTATCGATGTCAAAGCTGTGCCTAAAATGCACACACACGTACACGATGTGTGGAGAGACATGCTTGACTGACAGAGATAAGGAAAGATTGAGTGCAGCGATATAAATGATACGTTAATGAGTTGTCGACGTGTGTTCCTCTTCTCTCTCTCTCTCTCTCTCTCTCTCTCTCTCTCTCTCTCACTCTCAGCGTGTGTGTTTAAATTCGGTGTTATCTAGGTGCTATATAAACATGGATGCACCAACGAAATGCTGTGAACTTCCGCCAAAGCATACACTCTGCCTCGCTCTAAACATTCTGTTTTCGCAACGACTTTCAAAAGGTTTCTTGCTAATCTTTCTCACTCGCTATCTCTATTGGCTATACATATTGTAAATTGCTAAGTATGCTCGAGGAGCTGTAAGCTATATATTTCCATATGACCACCCATTGCGCGCTCGCAGCTGTCATAATGTCACTTGTACAGAATTACTTGTGAAAACGATAATAAGCCATGCATGGACATGTACTTTTAGCAAGACATATAATAACGATCGGCGGAAAGCAAATGACCGGCGTGTCGTTATACGTTTCTCTTTCCTTTCGCCGACTTGCTCCAAATGGACTGGCGGTAGCTTGGTGGGTGTAAAAATTCGAATTAACGTGTTGTCGATAGCGATCTCCCGGGCACTTTCCTCACGAACTTGACGGGCGCGCGAACGAGGCGGTGAACTAGTGGGAAAAGAAGTAAAGAAGTCGAGGTAAGGATCTTGATTAGAGGCGCAATTATACGCGCTGCCGGAGGTACGAGGTCCGCGCGACTATAGAATAAGGTGAGAGCGTGTTTGTGCGCGCGCGCGCGCGCGTGTGTGTGAGAATTATGTGCACGACTGTGTGGGTGGCCGCTGGCCGTCACGTTAAGGGCAATCGCGCCGCGGGTGCAAATAGCCTCGAAACACGAAGGTCGCGATCGCTATGGAGTTGGAGCAAGTTCAGCAGGCGCGCGCGTGCTAAGAGAGTGAAAGAGAATGTGCAAGGGTACGCGCGAGTGTGTGTGTGTGTGTGCGTGCGTGAGTGTGCGTGCGAGCTGGAGCATGTGCGAATGTGAAAGGTTTCAAAGGCAAATGTAAGTTATGTCGCATCGCCGACATCGTTGTCGTCGTCATCGTTGTCGTCTCCGTCGTACTCGCCGTCGTCATCGTTGCAGTGTTGTTGTCGTTGTCGTTTCTCGTATCTCTATCATAACGAGATAATACGAATAAGCCAAAAGCTCTCGACGTGAGATGAGCTGCAAGTTGGAAGTTGAAAACTGAAGGATGGATTGGTTTGATTTTGTCACGCAGGTGATAGCTGTAATATCGATATTGTTTATCGTGCTGTCGACGGTCGCGCTGACCCTGAACACCATCCCGAGTATGCAGGTGTTGGACAAGGAAAACAATCCCATAGACAATCCACAGCTTGCGATGGTCGAAGCGGTGTGCATAACCTGGTTCACGCTCGAGTACGTGTTGCGCTTTAGCGCTTCGCCCGACAAGTGGAAGTTCTTCAAGGGCGGCCTGAACGTCATCGACCTGCTGGCGATAATGCCGTACTACGTGTCGCTGTTCCTCGTGGAGACCAACAAGAACGCCACCGATCAGTTCCAAGATGTGCGTCGAGTCGTGCAGATATTCCGGATAATGCGTATCCTGAGGATACTGAAGCTAGCGAGGCACTCGACGGGTCTGCAGAGTTTGGGCTTCACGCTGCGTAACTCGTATAAGGAGCTCGGCTTGCTGATGCTGTTCCTCGCGATGGGCGTCCTCATATTCTCGAGTCTGGCTTACTTCGCGGAGAAAGAGGAGCCCGGTACCAAATTCATAAGCATTCCAGAGACTTTTTGGTGGGCTGGCATTACCATGACCACCGTTGGCTACGGCGACATTTACCCTACCACCGCGTTGGGCAAGGTCATTGGTAGTGTGTGTTGTATTTGTGGTGTCCTGGTAATCGCGTTACCCATTCCCATTATCGTCAATAATTTCGCCGAGTTCTACAAGAACCAGATGCGCCGAGAAAAGGCCCTCAAACGCAGGGAGGCGCTCGAGAGGGCCAAGCGCGAGGGCAGCATTGTCTCCTTCCCCCCAGGTGCTAATGCCAATCTACGCGAGGCCTTCGTCAAGAGCATGGACCTTATCGACGTCATCGTTGACACGGGTGAGTCTCGCTTTTCACTCTCTTTTTGCGCCTGCCTACTACTTTTTCGATCCACCACCGCGGTGGTTTCAACTACTTTGCCTCTTCCCTTTTGGTCCGCACAACTAACCATATTGGAAAAAGTATTGTATCTTTCGCCGTCAATAATATAATTTCATGCATTGTATTACCTGGTCGAATACACAGAGTACAGTATTTTCTTGACCTATATCACAGAAGCAAACTTTTTCCTCGACTTTACTTAAATATTGTTTTACCTTTTGCGGAATACGCAGTTCTTTCCTATTCCTGTCTGCGTATGTACAACCAAAGCATAAACTTATTTTAACTTGGACTTTACGAGTTCTGTAATACTTTTCTAAACGTAACTCTTACTTTGCTAAAAATACAGCGCCTTACGTACGACACAAATCTCATTCATAATAAAGCTTACGTGCGCGAAACAAAATAAAAGGGAAATAAGGAAATAAGTGCTCCGCTACCAGTAGTATAAGAATGTGCTTTGGTCAGATGCGAAGACATTTATTTCGAAAGGTACAGCTTTTAACTTTTTCCAATAGATTCTATTTTGCTAAAATTAATTGAACTATATGATGATGACAGTGCCTACGAAATAATAATATATTATAACGATTGTTTATATTGAATAAATAACAATCATTTCAAACAAGCTTTTATACTGTGTATTATTATAAATTGTATTTATGTGAAATTAATACTAATATCTAATGTACGTAGTGGGTTTGCTTATTTAGTTATTCGTGGATATTAATAAGTGTATTATACTTTAAACATTCTTCTAATTATATTATGTTATCAGACAATGTGCATAAAATTTTCATTAAATGAAATATCAGTTAATGAGTTTCTTAATATTGCGTGCAGCATAAATGTTTATTGTTGTACTTTGTGTGCTATTATTGATCAAGGTTTTATTTATACAAAATGGGGCAATTTCATGGGAGCATTTATCAACCGATACTTATATACAATATGACAAAAATAAGAAATTCAATTGAAAACTGAAGTCTCAGCTACATTATTTAAATAGAGAATTGTAATAAACGAAAAAATCAGTAGACTTTTGCTTTCAGCTCGAATCGCGAACGGAATTGCCGATCGAGGTAAACAACCGTTTATGCTGCTGCCGAATAATATTGCTGCACACACGACTTTGAAAGAGCATCGCTGTTGTACGGCCAAATTACTTTTTTTAGTGTTGGCATACGTGATCAGTTATATTTTACGTGTGGGTGAAATGATGCGTGAATGTGTATGCACAAAGAGAAAATCAACAAAATTTTATATTCATCAATTTTTTCAAATATCTTTATAGTTTAGAACACATTTAGATCGGTCAAACTGCTTTCAAGGTATTCCAAATCGACTTTTTTTTACGAGGGTGCCTTTATTATATTTCAAACTGGAAGAAATGAAAGAATCTGTAACAGCATGAATAATTAAGCTTTTTAAGAAATAGATTCGAAGCTTTGCATGATTTCAGAACAACTGTTAAAGAATTATTCATTTTTTTCTTTGTGCAGAATTTTTTGTAAATACAAGTATGAATCTACAAAATTTTAACTCATCGGTTCGTAGATTTTTTCATAAAGTTTTGTGCAGTTACGCAGCATTTTTGGAAGTGCACGCAAAAAATCGCAGCCTTTACAATTTCGCGCAGCAATTTCTTTTATGTTCGCCAATAAGTCTCATTTATAAACTGAACTTCGAGAAAGCTAAGCATTTATTTTTGCATAATAACTTTAAAATTCATTAACCGTTGTCTATTTACACGTTCTCTATACAAAATATTATTAAAACCTCTGCTTATAATCAACATATTTTCGATATTTATTGAATGGGGTTTTTTATAATTCTGACAAATTTCATAAATTAATTCTTTGTCGATAATACAATTGAATCGTAATAATATAATAGTATCTATAGAAATTGATCGAATTAATTGAGTTATTCATAGTCTATTTTGTAACATCATATACAAATATCATAAAAACATTTTCTCTGTCCAAAAAATAGAAATAGATACTTTTCTATGAGTTGAATTTAAATGTACAAACTAGCAAAAAAATTGAAAGTCATAATAAAATAGCATTGATTTAAAGTCATTAGTTGTTAAAAACATGCTGAGCGATGCGTGAATTAAAAAAATGGTTTCGCATACTAAATCATTGCCACAAAATAAGTTTCAATTTTTTAAATTTCACTTGACAAAGAAAGAGGGTAAAGAACTTTAAAAGATCTATTCAGACCCTGAAGTATATAATAGTAGGCTATATACTTAGTCAACACTCGCATCATTGACTTCAAGCTAAGGGTAATAAAAGTAATTTATTAGAGGCTCGCATGGTCGTAAGTAGAAGCTGCTGGCACATATGAGCTACGTGTAGGTGGCCTCGAGTATAATACAATGAATTACGAGGGCCCGCGACATTCAAAATTTGCGAATTCTCTCTCGAGCATCTCTCACGTGCACTCGACACTCACGGTCACTCTCGTTGTACTTTTAACTTGCATACGAGAGAACTTGTTGGTACTGGGTTTTTGGGTTTACGAGCACGGCCTCTAAGTTTAGAATAACACCTTACTAGAGTACATTTTTTTCGAAACTATTTTTTTCATTTCTTTACTCTTTTTATTGGCAGTCCGTGTGTCTTACGCGTATTTTATATTCATGAGATTATCTCTTTGTAAATTCGAAACCACAAACATATTTACATGGCTTATAGTCCAGAGAATTCGTGTCAAATATTGATTTATTTTGTGAAAAAGTTTAGCTATTTATTGGGAAAAAAAAACAAAATCTTTACGCGAGGAAAAAATTCTTTTACATCAGTGAGTCTAGTATTTTGTTTTTATCTATAAAAAATGTTAAGAATTATAAGTGTTCAACTAAGCAAAATAATCTTATTCAATTCATTTAATATTTATTAATTCAATTTCAAATGTGAATTACTAGAAAAGTTAATTTTTATGATCAAATAACTAAAAAAACTAAAAAAGCTTGGATATGATAAGTCATACGACTATTTGAATATTTAGTTAAACGAATTGGTTCAGAAGAATATGTATCTTTTTTTCTTGCTGTAAAAGTAGAACTTTTTAAAAACAATCTGTACATAGATTTAGCAATTAATTGCTATATTCACGGAGAGATACTCCAGTTTGATATGTGACCATTTTACGCAATATTTGCGAGCTTTATAAAAATCTAGATGATGCGCTCTAGTATATAACGTGCCAACACGTTTATTATACGTATATGGAAGTTTCGTTGTAATCCGATATCTTGAAGATTCTATAGGGAAATATTGCTTTATACGCTTCTAAAATTTCAAATTTATTCATTCATTTTTAAAATTATTCGTTAGTGCAATATTTTTTCATTCTATTTATTTTGTATTATCAGTTAAATTTACAAATAAGAATAGATGAACAAGTTTTGTTTAGTTAACTCAGCTTTATAATAGTATTTCTTTAATAATATCGGGCTGAGAAGAGTGCTTTTAACAATTTTATTTGCCATTTTACAATTGTAAAGTTTGACAATAAGATAGCTGATAGAGCTAAGTATATTATAAAAATTAGTTTATAAGAAAAAATGATGCCTTCGAAAGTTAAGTATGTTATGAAAACTTTTGTCTTCATTAAAATTTATGCTTATGATGTAACGTTGAGTTAGATTCTAGATAGTAGCATAAAATCAGAGCGAAGACAATTTCCAAGATTTATAAATATAAGAGCTTGATAAATAATTTAGTATCCATAAGTAAATTAGCTTGCATGCAAATTTCTCTCAGCTACTGCACTATTTCAAATTAACCTAACTACATCAACTGAATGATAAACAGAGTGCAGAAACGCGCTTGATAAGGGCATGTGCTAGGTCGCAGAAACAATTATAACTTTTGTACAATTTTGCGAGTTAACATGACTGAAATATTATGATGAAAATTAAAAAAAAACTTTTTCATGACACTAGTTGTCTCCTCGATGACGATCATTGACAATGTTACCAGGTATGACATAAGTAGTTAACTAAACAAAAATTTTTCATTTATCAAAAAATTCATCAACAAACTCTTGAAATTATGCGCAACACGGCTAAATAAAGCAGCATTTGTAATATAAGCATACATTTTGAGACAAGATACAAATTTTATTGTAGAACAGCTTCCTCTGCGCTTTACAATATTCTTATCGAAGGTATCTTCAGCCATCGATGTGCGCCACTTACAGCTGGTTTCACTACACCAAAAATTTCTTCAATTTGTTGCATTCTTATAAAATTGATCTTCAAATAAAAAGCTGGTTTCTCGAATTAAGAGAAAATGTTTAAATACAAGAACAATTATTGAAAAATGCAACAATTTTGAGATTTTTTTACTGCGTTGTTTTTATAATAAAGAAAGCAATTTCGTCAAAGCAAAATAAACAATGTAAAATAGCTTACCGCCAAGCCTCCCTCACAGTAACATTATCGTCGTCCTTGCCTGGACGATGTACGCGTTATGTTAATCCACAAAGAAAACAAAAAAGCCACAATTACGATTAAAAAATTTTAATTCCTGCCTTGCTGCTTGATCGAGCGAGCGATCATCCTGAGATATAATTGCCCATGAAATAATGAAATTTGCGGATTATCGCAATTCACAGGTCACAATATGTCGGGGGCTGATGGCAACAGCACCGAGGGTGAGTCGGCGACCACGCAAACAGGTGCCGGCTGTTACAAGAACTACGAGCACTTTGGCCCGTCGAAGCATCGACGCAGTAATTCGTCCTGCTATCCGAATCTGCAGAACGACTTATCTAACACCCCCGACAGCCCAAATCGACGACTCCTCGATTTCGCCCAAAACATATCCAACAATCAGGCGGACCATTATTATCACGATCAGTTGCCTACTCAGCAACTTAATCAGGCTATTGCCTCATCAAGGGTAAGTCATTATATTTCTATTAATTTTTCTACACTGTCTCGTTCGCACTTTGTCGTCGTCTTTATCGTCGTCGCTATTCGTTTTCGAGTGTGTACGTGATTCCCGATTATGACGCGTGGTGCACGTATTTCTTTTTCCTTTCCTTATACATTTGATTTATGTCCCGCTCTCTATATATCTCTTTTTCATCATGCCTTATTTTCCATTTTGAGGTTAGCTCTATAGTGTGTCGGTTTTTCCGAGTAGTAGGTCATGTGCCAGGGGCATTCCATTGATTGACTACCAGTTTCAGATTTTTACGTAGAAAACTTTGGTCCAGTAGTTACCTTTATATTTATGACAACGTAATATATCTATTCCTTTTTTCAGCCAATTACTACCTAAAAAATATTTCGACTATGTCGTTCAATTTAAAAACATATGTGATTAAAATTTGTGTGGTTTGGTAATATGTAAAGGCTTAATATTGATAGCAAAATAATTCAATAGAATATTAATCGAATATTTATTTTTCTTATCTTATATGTTTGGTATTAAATAATTTTATGTGAATACTTTTATTGAAACCGTTTTTATATTGAACGCTTACAACGTTCATTAAAACGCACTGCATTTTATGCCATTTTTATGACCTCGATTGTGGCTAACGTAAAATTATGTTTGAAACAATACCTTGTAAAATTATGATGATATATACATGGGCCAAATGAATCATTAAATTAATATTGAACGATTAACAAACGATTGCTATTTTTACCGTAAAAATGTAATAAGTACATGAACTTACGAAACTAACATTTTGGAAATTGAAAACTTTTAATTAAGATCCGATCCAGACAGTGCCTCCCCAGCCTGTTACTACTCGAAATAACCAATAGAGCTGCAATTTGGCTGTTGGGCAAAGTTTCTGCCTCGCAAAGTCCAACTGCTATATTGTGGTGATTTGTGTACATCCTTGACTCAAAAACTTTCGAAGGCTCATGATTTTCGAACGAAATTCTAGCTTTACATATCGACAAAAACATTATCGTGAGTAAATCTAAAGTTTCCGGGGCATTAGACAGAATTACAGCCATTCATCACAAAGAAGAATGTTGAACTTGATATCCTTTGAATACCATTCAATCAAAGTATTCAGTTCCTTAAATGTATATGAATTTAATTGAGACATTCCCTAGAGCCTTTAAATTCACATTCATTAAACTGACTCGGTAAATTTAGCCCAAGTAAATTGATCAAGTACTACGTATATTGAAAAGCATTTACCATTATTACTATTCGAGGCAGAAATAAGCACATTTCGAAAATTAGTACTTTCTAACTTTTTTGGTTGCGTTGTATTATTGTTTAAAAAAATGGTGTCTTTAAAATATATCTAGAAATGTTAAAAAGCAATTATAAATATGTATGTATATATATATATATATATATATATATATTGGAGTGCCTATGTTTTATTAAATCACTTATATAACTATAATTTATAAAGAATTTCACTGTTGTCAGCATAAAATTCGAGCACTTGTTTTCTTATCAAGAGTGGAGTGTTCATCTCATTTCAAATTGTAAATTGTTTATCATTTTCAAATTCAAACTACCATCGCGTACGTTGGAAAGTTATAGTGCGTTTCTCAAAATTCCTTGTATGCAGGTATTATTCCACTTAACATGTTTTCATAATTACAAAATTACATTAGTAAGAATAAACAATGAATTTCGAACATTTGAGACAATCATAGTCCGTAAAAACCGTTAAAATTGCTTTTGTTTTTACACCAAATAAAATGTATTGCTGTAACTATTTATTTGATTTTTTATTTTGCAATTTTTATTTCATAAACTACAATGATATGTTCATATATTTATAAAATTTTAACTTTGTATAATTGAAAGAATTTAGGCACTTTATGAACTGATTATTAATTTTTAATCTTTTTTATTCTTTTATTTTTTTTTATTGAGTAATTTTTGATCTAACAACGAAATTATTATAGTAACAAAAGTTTAATACCTTGGTTCTAATAATAAAATTTTCGAAATAAATGTTAATCTTTAAATTATAATTTCGAATTATGTTGTAATGCTCAATTAGCATAACAGATAACGCAGGTCTGAAAAATAAGGGGTTGTGATTGTTGTTGGCCAACTGAGGATTATTTCCAAAGCAATTTTTTGCGTAGAATTCGAATCCGGAGTCAGAATTTGTCCATCACATCAGGTTTTCTAGATATCCTAACTTAAAGGAGCAATAAAAGCGGGTTTTTGGTATATTTGAGGTCTCGAAACATCGTGGAAAATTTTTTTTCTGAAAACTATCTGAAAGATCTACTTTTACCCTTTAAAATCCATATTTAAAATTTAAGAGATCTTTTTTTTCATAGAGATAGCGTTGATTAGAATCAAGTATTTCAGCAGTTTCGAAAGAGTTAATTTCTTGGATATGTAAGGCTATAACAGCAGACCCTTATACCCTAATTTTCTCAATCCTCGAACCCTGTAACCTGCAACGCTATAACCTGATACCCTTACACCATAATTGCCTCAACCCTCGCACCCTGTAACCCGCGACGCTAAAATACTTGATTTCAATTAACGATACCGTGATGAAAAAAAAAGTATCTCAAATCTTAAAAGTGGATTTTAAACAGTAAGAGTACACTTTTCATAACTTCCCGTTTAAAAAAAAAATTTTCCGTGATAATACAGGAGCTCAAATATACCTAAAAACCATCTTTTTGCCTCTTTAGGTTAGGATATCTAAAAAATCTGACATGAACAAATTCTGACTTCGGATTCAAATTTTATGCAAAAAATTACTTCGGAAATGACCTTCAGTTAATAAACAAAAAAATCATGCAGATCTGTGTAATTAAACTAATGATGTATTATTCATCAACATGTGTATTTTAACAAATGTGTTTAATATAAAAACTGTTAATTTGAGTTTCAAAATAAATTTAGTCCTTGAAGTAACAATAACAACAACTAAAATAACAATAAAATTAATATTTACAGAAATAATAACTTAAATATGTATTTTATTATTCCTCGTATTATATGAATTATCTATTAAGAAGATTCTTTAGTATGATGATTACTTCTTAACTTCTCAGTAACCTTATTTTCAACCTTAGACATTAGGTTGATTTGTTATCCACGAAAACGAAGAAAACAATCTTAATTATTGGTTTTAGAGTCGATTTATCTGTTTCGATTTGCAAAAAATAATTATTTCTTATCGTCTTTTTAATGATTAGACATTCGTTTCTTTAAAATTCAGGGAAAACCAAGTATTACATATAAATATCGTTTTGTTCTTGCGTTAAATATACAACAGTTTAAATGAATCTATCATAAAATCTATGTACAACACGCAAGAATCAAAAAATCAAAATTTTCAGTGGTTATTCCCTTTTAACCCTTTTTAGGTAGTTTTGGTGATAAAAAAAGCAACCATCACATTCTAAGCATAAGAAACAAAATAATACACTAAAAAAACATGTTACAAGTTTTGATATAATGCTTGATTCTTCTTGAATTTAAAAGAAATTAAAAACATTTTTTTTTATTATTAAAAACACCGTTTATGTATAGTCGTATGGTTAGGTTTTGTTTGAATTTGATTTCTTAGTTTTACTAATAATAAATCGATCTATAATTTGAGAAGGAGGTTATGAACAAGTTGTGAAATAGGCGCCACCCTACTGATCGCGTTAATCGATATGCTTATTCTAGTTTATTCTTTTAAAAGAGAATTGAAATTTTATTAGATTCCTATATTTGTGCCGTGAATTTTATTGGTCAACCTGACAGTGCTTCAAGTTTTCTAATTCAAAATATGTAGTAACGGCAAATTTTTTAATTAATTTTTTTCTTTATTTACAAAACTATTCTACAAAAGTTGATAACTTTGATTTAATATTTTGAAAAGAGAAGCCTCGAGTTTGACCATTTAAAGAAACCAAATGAATTTGCATAATAAGCTTTATTCTTTTAAAAAGATACTTGTTACGATTGAATAGGGACTTTTTCAATGCCAAATTAGCTAAATAGATGTCCCTTTCAAATTTTTTATTTTATGCCTTTATTTTCAGTTAATTCCTTATTGATATTAGCAGACGTATCATTAGTATAATTAACATCAAAAGACCTTATGCCGGATCGATAACTCCAAATAAGTTATTTTAATACTAACAACACGTGTTCGCGTTACAAAAACACTTTAAGCTGCACGCACACACGCACATAAAGGTACACTTTTCAGGCTGGCAGAGGCGTAAGAAAACCTCGAGGTGGCATCCTTAAAGTCTCCCAGAAACGAATTTGAGAGACGTGCGTGCTTCGAGCCGCTCTATGATGATGTATTCCAGTGAATTCCGGGCAATAACGAATACGCACGGTGCTTGAGTAAAGAAAAAAAAAGTAACACTAGATGAGTGCAGAGCTCCCACACGAAAAAAATATGTATTTTTTTATATGAAGGTTAGCCGCTATGTGCTAGAAAACGGACAGGAAATTATTTACGAAAGTGTCCTTATGAGGCTGAGTTTAAAGGTACGTTTCATTCTGCTAATGATACTTGCCAGGCACCTTGAGGATCTGAAAAATAAATATTTTATTAGCAATACAATAGATTAAAATATATCCTTGCAGAAGCGTTTTATGAATTATTTTAATATATTAATATTGATACATTTTAAAACTTTAATTCAAAATTGTCAAAGCATAAAAATAGTTGCTAATGTAAATAATTTAGAAAAATGACGCAGTTGAGCTCATAACTCTTTTAATTTTTCAATGTTGGTATATAGCTTCAAATCAGTCAGCTAAAAACTCAAAGCTGATTTTCTCGAAAAATCAAGCTCTTAGGTATATCTGTGTCAATTACAACGAAACAGGACATATATTACCAACGTTATGACGGTAATTTAAAATTACATAGGTACTAGAAATGCAGTGAATGTCTAGGGATACTTATTACTAAATGTATTATTATTTGGTAACTTTGATAAAATGTTATTAGGAAGATCCTCAAGTGTCGACTGATAAATAACTCATAAATTATGGTTTGAACACGCTAATAAGTTTCGAGTGCATCCATAACGAATGTGTTTCGGTTTAGACTGCTCTCTGCATGCAGTACGTACCTTTTTTTCCAATTTGCTAAAAAAATAAAATAAAAACTTTAGAACCCGTTTCAAAGCCTACTTCATCTTTTATTGTATTACAAGAGCAAGCACGTAGGCCTCCGTCACTTTTTGACATTTATCATGTGTAGGCAGCCGTAGCACTCAATTTCTCAAATATATGAAAAAAATATCGATACATAATAGAAACAAATGTATCCATACCACTTCGAAGGATTTGCGCTATTCCGAGCACGTAGTTTCTGTCATTTTGTTAGCTCTGAAAAAAAATAAACAACTTTGCATTTGTAGTGTAGAGGAGCACAATATTTTTATTGTTATGCGTCGTATGTGGGCTACAGTCTTGAAATAATTGCTTTCTTTTTTTGGTTTGCCCTATGCTTGTATGTGAATTATTAGAAAGTAGAAAAATATGCAGGAACCATTATTTTATATAAAATAATAAATATCGCAATATATTTTGCATCAGCTTTAATTTGATGAAATGCGGAAAATAGAAGTAGGATAGGCAGATAAAGAACAATCTTGTGGTCGTTGCTGGCAAGCTACTTGGCTAGGAAAAATTCTCAATATTCAATAGATAGTAATACTTCTTGTACAGAAATAGTAATACATATATTGTATTCTGAATTCATAACAATTCATAAACATGTTCCGTTTTTGGTTATTTCAATTTATATGTAATATAACTTAATCTCAAATTATGCATTTCTTATTATGTTATAGCTATACGTAAAGAAAAATATTTTTTTTCGATTATATTTTTTAAATGCAAAAAATAAACATAAATCATGTGTATCAAGTGCAATAAATTGAAACATTTGCAAAGCTTTGACCGTAGTCAAACATTGAGTCAATATAATTTTAATAGCAAAGATATGAGGCATTTTTTATAACGGATTGACATTTTATCAGATACGTTAAAATATTGTGTATATTTTTTCCAACAGCAAACGATTACTTGAAGTGAAAATCAAATATTAGTCATGGCCTCTTACCTTGCAGGAACGGAGATCCTTACTTGATGACGACGATCTCTAGGGGCTACAAAATTTTCCAATCGAGTGGGCAATGGATAAGTTTAGGAACCAGCGACAAATGGATATGAGTAAAAAAGTAAGATAAAGAAAGCATAAAGAGAGAAAGTACGAGAAAAAAATAAGTATAACGTAAGCTTATTCGAAAAAGAGTGGCTCTGAAGCTGAGAAAGATTAGAACTAAATGGAATGGAATATGGTTTTATCGCACTACCGTGAAGCGAGTACTTGAGATATAGAGACGCTTGTGATCTCGGATGTAAAGACACACCAGCGTCTTTGCGTGCATTGCAAGCCTTCGGGATGAAAGTAAAAACCTTTTACGGATCTACTGCTATACTGCCTTGTCAAATGTAGGTGACGCGAGGTCTACATGTATATGTGAGAATGCGCCTATATTTTGGAAGAGGAAGAAATGTAAAAAGCTAAGTGGAATTCGAGCCAAGTATCCGTGCGCGCATGCCTTTTGAAACAGTGGTGAGCTTTCGATAATGAGAAAGAGAGAAGATATAGAAGCACCAGCTTGAAAAATTATTAGAACGCGAAAAGCAAAGTTTAGTCAAGTGGAAAATTGATTTCGTAAGAGCCAAGTTCGATATTGAAAAGTGCATTGCTGTGCGGTCGTTCGCTGGAATTACAAAAAACTTAATACACATAAAACCTCGTATATTGTTCTTACGTTGGACATACATTCCGCAGCTGGTTGCAACACTTCTTTTTTACATATTACGCTTTCCTTTGAAAGTTAGTGCACTTGAGATTTGTAATTATATATATAATCGTACGAACGACGTTATTCATCTCGCTGTACTATAGATAGTCGCCGGTAATAAATCATTTGAGCAAATTTTTGTACGCAGTTATATGTCGTAAAAATCATACAACATGATACTGATTTTGAATATTTCGCGCAAATTACAATTGTTAAAGTTAAAGTTGCGGTTCAGACGATTCGTACATTTCAACGAACATCAAAATTTTCATTCTATTTCAAGTTTTTGCCATTGGATAAACCTGGAGAACTGATATCGTACAAGTAAAATGTAATGTAAAGTATAAGTAGATAATTTACTAAATGTTATTGGATAGAATCGTTACATAGTTTTAAAGTAATAGCTACTGTAAAACATGAAATAATTGTCAAATGTATAAGATTGTTACTGTTGACGAATAACAATGTTAACCATATTATTTTTACATCAAAAGCAAAAACTATTTTGAAGTAAAAAGAAATGTTATTCTATAAAGAAAAGTATTTCAGCTATAAGCAACAAAAGATCATAAAACAATACGGAGTTCGTTAAAACACTTATAAAGGCTGTTTATCGACTTTAATTGAGTTTAAAAAGAAGTACGCGTCAAACTCGTTAGCTCAACCATTGCAACTGGAATTGGCTGAAGCGTTACCGCAAAATAAATAAAGCTGCTTAAAAAAAAAGAAAAGATCATCAAAGGTTAAGTTAACTTTTATGACGCTTGTTTCTTTTTGCTACACTGCCTCGTACAGAAAGTCAATAACGTTGAACAAATGAAAGAAAAACAATGAGAGGATATTTAATAGTTCTCGCGTACAGCCATCCACCTTATTTATAAGTAAAGCTAATTGAAAATGTTAGTATAGATACATGCATTTATATATATTATTAATTAATTTACAACGTATGCGCGTGCTCGTGAAATCTTTGAGTGGTGTTTTAGCAGCCGTCCATTGTCATTTATACAATTATTGCCTCTGCCTTTATAAGTAGACGGATTGATTGTTGCTTCAAAGATAAGAAAATTCAGTTGACAAACAAATTAAAAAACAGCAAATTATTACTTGTTCTATGTACGCACCTCTCCCGGCCTAAGTAACACGAACATATTCTGCAAAATCAATCAATAAATACATTCAGACACAAAAAACGAAAGTTTTAGAAATACATCGTCAATAGCGAGTTATTGTGCTTACAACTAGATCGACTATCGATGTAAAACTTGCTGATATATATTATATGTATGGCACGATAATTTCTTTTTCAGTAAATAAAGTGAGACGTGGATCAAAACTGAAATTATCCATGTATTTTTAGTGCCTAATAACCTTCTGCTTGTCCTCATTCAGAAAGAAAAGTAGAAAATTTTCTTTACGAATTTTATTTGCTCTTTGCTTTGTGAGTACCTAGCGCCTTTTTACCATTTTTTCTGTCTTTCTTGTATTTCTCCCGTGTGGAAGATAACCTACAAAGTCTCTGCGTAGAACTGCATTGCGGTGCACTAAGGAAAAAATCAACAAGTTGCGGTAAAATATTTTCCATTTTGCTTTCATTTTACCATGTACATAAGTCGTTGTTTTAAATTTATATTAATTTGTACCGCTACATAAAAAGAATTATTTTTTTATTCTATTAGGATTTTACTTTTTTTATGAAGGAATCACTTGTATCTGTATAACGATATTTAGATAAAGCTATTTATATAAAATGATCAATAGTCAGTTATTTTTTGTTAATTGTTTTTATTACAAAAGCATCTTTTCTCGTTTGTCATTATTTTGATATCTTTTATAATAAGTGTAATCAATAAATCACTTGAGTTTAGAGAAACGCACTTGACTTTTACGACTTGACAGCGTACATAGTCATCAATGGAACTATTGACTAGTATAAATCTACAAATTAACAAACTTATTATTAAATGAATATTTCAGCTACTTCTCATAACATCTTTTTTTTTATTTAACCATTAATTCATAATGAGTTTAGTGTTAACATATATAAATAACGCGATAGAGAAAACATTGCAAATTATTCCAATAAAAAAAATTTAGTAATTGATATTGCATATATCCAGTTAATCGAAGAATATTGTATTAATGTCAAGATTGATTTTTGTTTATTTGCAATGCTTTCCTGATCGTTCAAGCTCAAAAGTAATGTTTTCTATTTTTTTGTCTTAATATACGTGCAATGATATAACTATTTGTGAATTTACGGTGTCTGTGTGAGTGGATGGCTTTGTTCTAACTCTAATCATTACAAACATAATGTGTATAACATTTGTAGGAAGAGGACAAAAAAGATAAAAGGAAAATCAAGCAAGAATCAGACAAAGTCGTGAAAGACGAATTTCCTAACGAATTCGAGTGTTGCTTTTGTACTACAAAGGTATTTACATGCAACGACATACATAAAATATTTTCGAATAGTGCAACATATATTTGTGTAAATATTTTTACAATAATATATATACATTGTTTATTTATTAAAAAGTTCACTAAAGTTAATACTCGTGATCGATGTTGTAATCACCAATATTGAATCATTATCAAAACGTTCTTTTTGCTTTGATTTATTTTTTGAAAAGATTGGTTTATTGCAATGTCAACTTAAAATCTTTCAAAAATTGTTAAGGAATGACTGTAACTCTTTTATTTTTGCTGCTGGACAATTATTTTTTTCTCTCGTTTTTTTCTAGTTGTCGATTTATTTTTTACGTTCACGCAATAATCAACAAAAACCGTAAGTCCTTGTTATGTATAAGTTAATTTATTATTTGATTATTTTCCACATTTTTAGTCCCGTAAATAAAATAAAATTACGAAGCATGTTGAAAAGTAGTATAGTAATGTTGTAATTAACACAAGTTGATGTTTATATTAATAAAATTGTATAGATTTGCATTATTTTGTACACAGAATATACTTGATGTGTTTATGTTTGCATCATCCAAACCGCGTGTATGCACGTGCATCATTTACGTTCAAGATTTTTTTAATATGGTGAATGAAAATGTACCTACAGTTCGACGTTACAGGCACTGTGTGTTCTTTATGACTTTATCAAATATTTATATTATCTTTCAAATAATTCATAACAATATTACAATGCTCTTCACGAACAGTAAATATACACAATTATCGAAATAATTATAGTTTTTATAGTTTTTTCAAACACATTCAAAAAAGTAAGTAGACAGTAAAAAAAATCTTTCAAATTTGTATCGAGAAAAAAATCAAATCTTTAGCTTTCATTCAAAAACATTGATATGTCACGAAAAAAATGTTATGATAAATAGGATCATTCATAACACATCATTTTCTAAAATCTAAATGAAGCTCTTTGAAAAGATATATTATTCGTAGAGAGTAATTGTATCACGTAAATACCACTTTATTGTTTATACTTTTTAGCAAAATGACACATGTTATTAATGATACATACAACCTGTAGCTATTTAGTCTCGAATTTATTGGTTATGTAACGATTGACACTTCTAGTTTTCTGTTAGACAACAAAATTTCTCTTCATTAAATGAATGTGTATAGGTACATACTACTTAAATCGTTTAAATTTTCGGAGTATATACAGAATTAATAAATCTCTTAGTTATATATACATAGATCATTTAACGAATTATTTGTTCGTTATATAGAAACAGCTAAGTCCCTGATGCAAATCCTTTTATAAAAAATTATGAACAATTTGAAGATGTAAGAACTATAAAAATATTGCAAAAAAATTGATATTGGCTTAATACAATGACATCCGTAAAGTTTGAGTAGCGACATTATTTATAAAGTGTTGCAACATTGATGAAAATAAAAATAAGCAAAAATTTTCCTTGGAACGACGTCAAAAATCAGTGTGTACAAATAGAAAATGGTAATATCACTAATAATAGGAACTAGAGATTATTTTAATTAGCGGTTTTTAAACATTTGTTAGCTGTCTGGTTGGTTCAAAGTAGTTTCGTGAGAATTGATCGGCGTGTTGTGACTTTACCACGTGTACAGCAATGCACGTGCAGATGCGAATGCTGACGAGTGTTAATATACACGTGTGCACGATATTTTGCAGGAGTACAAAGACCACCGCGATGCCGAGGACATTATGCCACTGCCTACGAGTGATATCAAGAGCACTGTATGTGCCGAGTTGAAGTCGATGCGCGAAAGTAACTTCGACCAGGCAGCCTTCTACAACGAATTGCAACTCCATCAGTTCCAGCAGTTTCAGCAGCAGCTTCATCAGATGCATCAACAGCATCAGCAGCATCAGCAAAACCAGGCACTTGCTTTTGCTTCGCTTCAGCAACAACAACAGCAGCACTTCACGGCCATGGATTCCTCCACGACCCTCAACAAGAATTATAATGAGAGAGGCAGCGTCGACAGCTCTGATACCTACGCCAGCTGTCAAACGCATCCCTTCTATTCCGAGGTGAGTGCGCCTGTGTTTTCAACAGCTGCCATGGCGATTGTTACAGAACATTGTTACGTACCGCGCGCTCTCGTCCGAGTAGTTATGCCAAAGTATAGTCAGACACTCGCTGTCCAATATTAATATAACCGTTTGCTACCGCTAGCTTACTTTGTTGTACATTTTGCTTGCGTAGTATATTAATAAAAATACGTAGTGCAGCAATCTCGAACTATTCAGATTTTACCCTACAAAGCACAAATTTACAATTGGGAAAATTTATACAAAAATCCTATAACTCGTATCTCTATTTTTGGCTGTCATCTTGCTAAATTTATTCTTCTGCTTCTACTTAATATTTTTAAATTCCATTTAACTATCCAGTTAAAATACAGTATCTGTTAATTCAAACAATAACGTACTTATCTTTTTCGTTTAAATGAAATACGCATTATTTTAAAAAATTGCGCGTCATTTTAACGACACGTGCATGAAGGGCATCTGACTTATAGAAAATGCAACAATTATGCTCAATAAGTAATTGAACAACAAATTAAAAGAATAATATGGCATTTTTTCTTAAGCGAGACATACAATACGTGGCAAATATTCTGCAAAGATTTCTTGAATTATATTGTTTTTCCAGAGCGACTTGACGGAGGAAGCGGATAGTAACCTATACGTGAATCCGCTGGAAGGCCGAGCTAGCGTGACAAAGTCGGCGTCGGGGGAGATAGTACACGTCGCGCTGAACGTATCGCCAAGCGCCGAGTCTCTCAAGGAAATTAACGCGCCCGCTAAAGCCAGCAGTAAAGCGAACGTGAATGAGCCGATACCGAAGCACCGGAAATCTCGCATTCAACAGGTGAGAATCGAAACGGGAATACATTTGCCCCCTTCGCGAGAGATGGCAATCGTTAAAGCCTTTATTGGCAGCAGGCGCGCACCGAGTACTTACGAAACCCCGATCTCGCATTGCATGAACAGTGACAGGCGAACTGCTGAAACTTTCTTAGGTTGACAGTATAACGGGTACTTGCTTTTTACGTCGACTTCAAGACGTGATACAATGTTAGAGGCTACAAGAAATCCTAATAGAGACAAATAAATCGGTACATTCAATCTTCCCTTTAACATGCTTTTCAGTTAACGTTATTTTTTTTTGTTTTTGACATAAAGATACAGTTATCGTATAATATTCATCTAAAAGCTCAGAATATGGCCACTGTGTCGCAAATATTGTAAAAATAGATGATTATTTTATGAAATGAATTGATTATTGAACTAATATTAAATTGTCATAAAAATTTTCACTCGAAATAATATCGAAACTATCAAACGAGAAATATATTTTTCTATTTCGACTTTTAAAATCCGCATGTACAAGTTTTCCAGGTTGAAGTATTTGAGATTATGGATAAAGATGAGTAAGTTTGCGAATTTCGGTATTTATTTAACTATGCTATGAATAATTCCTTAAAAAAATAACATTTTGCAATACCCTCTTGTAAATAATTCTTAATTTTGTCGTTTTGGTGTATTACTAAAAAAATTATTATCTTTGTATATTAAATAGTTTACGTTGTTTTCAAAAGCTATTAACTTTAAATTGCAATTGATACATATCAGATATTAATATTATTATTAACATTAAATGCATGTTTATGTACTGCTGATATAATCATGTGGTCATGCTATTCATATTTTTCATTCAATGTTATGACAGTTGATTGATATTCATGTATAAAATACTCATAATAAAGTTATGTTATTTCTATATAGGGAGAGTAAGGGAATATGTACCAGTTACACTTTTAACGAGTCTGCAAATTAGAAAACACTTTTAAAATATTTTGAAATAGGCCATTGAATTTACCAGTCTCTTCAACTACTAAACTCTATGATTCTTTTTTTTCAAAAACATTTTTATTCCACAAAAAATACAGAAATGTGTTTTTGAAAAATGTAGGGGTAAAATGAACCATTAAAAGAATTGTTCCAAAATTCGTATAAAATGATAAAATTATTTTATTTATTATGTAAAAAGTCTAAGAACATTAGAACATAACGTATTTTATATAGAAGCAAAACCTACATTAATTTTACTCAAATATTATACAGATAACCAATCATAACTTGTTGTATTCGATTGACATATCATAAAAGTATTTCAAACAAAAATTTATTTATATTATTAACAGTTTATAGAACTGTTTTTCTTCTTTTCATTTCCTTTTATAAAAAAAGAGATGAGTCTGAAAGTGAAGTCAGTTCATTCGTGATCTGATTGAATGAATAAAAAGTAAGACAATTCGTAGACATTAGAAAAAGAACAAAATCCATATTCAGTTAACGGCCTAAGCTTAAAATAATATAGCAAAATAATTTTAATGCTTTTAAATACATTTATTCTCAGGACATATAAACTTATTCAATATTTCTGTTATTAAGTTTAGCTTCGAATAAATATAATCAACAATAAAAAGAATCATCATAAATCGATGTTTTACATGAAGTTCTGTGAAGTTACTTTGGCTGATATGGTACTGTATAATGATTTACATGACATTAAAATCGAAAATGTGACGGATGAATAAATAAAAAATGACACAGTTAATTGCTGAAGGTTACCATTTTGAAATTCAGTTTCTAAAAAGTACTACCTCAAATGAGCCCAAACAGACTTCCAGTATTTTTGTCAAGAAAATACATCTATTGATATGAGGATATCGTACAGTCTTAAATCGTAGAAAAAAATCAGGAGCAGTTAACGGTTTGATTTATTTAGAAAACGAAAAAGGAGAAAAGAACATAGTGCGATTCCTATTACTTGTAACTAAATAACTAAAAATCTGCTACATTATTAATTTTGAAATTATATTTAAATCTACAAATATAATTTTAATCAAGTTTTTATTTGCCAATAAACTTTGACGGATTTCCAAAGCATAGAATTATTTGATGATTGTAGTGCATTTTAGAATTTTTTATTTCGTAAATAAATAGTTGGGATTTGATTCAAGCACATGAAACTGAATAAAAACTGTTTAAATATGAGAAAAGCGCGTGAAGTGCGCTAGACGACACTAGTGAGTAATAAAAAACTCATATAAAATTATTCAGTCAAAAAATAGTTCGTTGTAAAAGGCGCAGTTGTACCTGATGTAGTCTGTGCATGCCTCATGAGCCATTGGTAGTACAAATTAATATTAAGTTATGTAGAATCAATATTGTACCAATTGTTTGCAGATAAAAAGAAGGAGCTGCTATTCACAAAGTGACGGGTGTTTGTGACTGGCTCGTGACGTGACAAAAATTATATGCGGTCTGCATTTTAAATTACTCTTGTAATTTGAAGTCAAAAGTGCTTACAACGAAATAAAAAAATATGATATAATTAAATATCACGAAATAGTTTGGTGGTCCGTATTACCCAAAGATAAGTGGTCTATATTCCTCCGAAAGCCTTCTTTATTTAAAGAAGTATAGAAAAGCTCCATTTAATAAGAAAGATTGGTGACATATGCGTGAAAATTTTCAGAAGCCTGTAAAACGTGTCAGGACCACGGAGAATAGGCAAAAATTTATGGAATATAATATAAAGTAATTAATAAAATAGTAACAGAACACCGATACGCAGAATATTTGCCTTCATAAAAAAAATGTGGCCCATATTACCCGTAGGGACCATATTCCCACACTCTCTCCTATTGCAAAGACAACGCAAATAAACTTTAACAGGTTAATTGACGTATCGTAATATTTCTTTAGTAAATTTACAATTCGTTGAAATTCACACCGCGGGTACCTATAAGAGTACCTTTAGGAATAAAAGTCACCTTTCGGATACAGTTTTTACACCAAAGTTAGGTGCAATCTGTCGGCACATTTAATCAAGTGTAAATTTGAATGCAATTTACGAAGATAGTATCTAATCAAGCGCCAAGGTCTTACTCAAAATAGATAAAAATCAAGAACTAAAATTAAAAAGTAGTTTGAAATAATTTGCTATTTTCTTATTTATATGTAACTCCTATGTAAGATAGTCCTACTTTATCTACCGTACTTCAGTCAATCACTAAATACAGATAAAAAACATTAAAAATCAATATTTTCAATTATTTATTGAGCAGCCCAATACATTATCGAATAAGAATTATCACTTCCCTGTATAAAAAATCTGTCATCAACACAAAATAACAGTAATGTATAAAAATGAAATGTATGCAATGCAAAAAACGCCTGAATTACAGACGACGCAACGGCAACGCGCTCAGTTCGTAACGAGTGGCACGGACTCGAGCGGCTCATCGACGATTCGAGAGGACCTCGGCGACAGCAAAGAGGACAACAACAATCAGCAGCAGCAGCAGCAGCAGCAGCAGCGACAACAACAGTACAGCGGTATCGGCAGCAGTGGCGGAGGCGGAGGTGGCATAGGTCTGCGGGGCGGACGCGCCTCTCAATTCGCCCCTGTCAACAGCCTTGCCTCGGCCACGCGTGCGATAAATCACCATCTCTTCGGGACAATCGCTAGTTCAAAACACAACACCGGTAAATGAACTAAAAGCAGCCTTTCCAAGTAAGACGCGATCGCGCTGCCTTCTTCCATCTCCCTCATTTTTTTCCATTAGAAATTATTATTATTTATTGCCATCATTGGTTCGCTATTTATTATCATTATTCTATAAATGCATTGACATGCGTATATGACATTGTGAATAGATTTAGAGAAGGCTGTGGTATGCGATTGTTGGCGATCACTCGCGCACATTCAATCAAATGTTCACTATGTACGCTATAAAGTGTTCACTTCAAGTGTATGAGTTGACCAAAGATTATATCGATTATTTTTTTGTCAGAAATATCTTGTATGTGTATAAAATGATGTTGTGAAAAATGTTACTGGCCAGACGATCGAGGAATATTACACGAAAATCAGAACATATACATGTATATATATATAGTTGAATTTATTCGTGTATGCAAGTCCTCGTGACAGAAAGAAAGAGAGAGAGAGAATGAATTTATTTATACACAATCTGCGCGAATGACAGTACAAAATTCACAATATATATATATATATATATATATATATGATAAACGTGATTTATTCGATTATCAGAAATAGCAATAAACTTCTGCGTTTTAAGCAGAGAAAATATTATTGAGTTCACTTTACTATATTAATTTGCAATCCCTTGTTATACTTGATCTAACAAACTTTTTTAATATTTTTGTATTCTTTTTCTCTAACCATTCAAGCTTTTCTTTTTTGATGAATTTATATGCGGGTAGGTATAGTTAATTAACGAATAAAACGACTAATTTTGTTTTATTTTTCAACACTGTGTGAATACGTATAAATTAGATAAAGCAAAATTAATCTATGTATTTGAAATGGAACTCAGGCACTAACATCACACGTTACTGTATGCTTCATTAATAAATGCCGCTTGGAAAGTCACAAATCATGGAACCTGCTGGACATTCAAAACCAAAGTGTCACCGTTATTTGCTTTGTTACAAGCACCAAGTAATATGATAAAAGTTGAAAAAGAAAGATGCATGCAAAGTGATTTGACCTTAATGGTGGTTTATCGAATTATTGCATAATTTCATCGCTAAGTAATACATGACAAAGCTTTTTGTTTCTGAAGAAGTTTTCTTCCAAAATGTTACTTTCCTACGAAATTTTGTTTGGAAACTAGATACAACTCAATCAATATAACTTTATACCACTATTCCATCAGACAGATTCATTTTATTACCAAAAATATTCTAATCGATTTGCTAGCATTAAGGTCTTGCGATACGTAGGAGCAGTTGAAATTGTCCCACGTCACGCTTCGTCGATCTCACACGACTTCAATATCGAAAAAAATAGAAATCGCACCATGACAAGTATTTGATTATCTCTATCACGTATAGAGTAAAATTTCTTATTCGTTACGTTCATTAATGAGAACAGTGCCCATTGATTTCCGCTATCAATGAATGAAACAATTTAATACCTGCCTAACTATTTTATGGAAATAATATCTACGTCAAATATATATTCTTGCTAACATATCATTACAGTCAAATGTCAAAAAAACAATAAATTATATCAATAGAAGCACGAATTGATCGTAATATTATAAAGCTTAATTATTTTACTAGGTCAAGTTCTCCGACATATTACATTTATTTAATGATTAAAGTATATACAATTCAGATTCGAAAATTTGAATGCGTAACGAATGAAAGAAATTGTAACTCGTACAACGAGACAAAATGATGTTTCAAGTAAATGAGCCGGGGCGAGTGAACGATTGAAGAAATAAAATCTGATTTCCAATATGTGCCTGGTGAACGTTTTTCAGGAAGGTCAGCCGCAAGTAAGCTATCGCTATCAGCGGATTCAATAGACAGCGAAGCAACACCTTTCATTGAAAGACAGCGCATTTCAAAATCAATATTAAAGAAGTCCGAAAGCAGCAATAACTATTACAGCAATACAACGGGCGATTCGGACACCGAGAAGCTTATTGATAATGCGCCGTATGGGACGACAATGTGTGATAACGAAGTTGGTCTCGCACTCATGAGCGACGCATTCCAAAATGTCTACGGTACGACAACTTGATGCAGGCACAATCTTCACAATTAAGTGGCTTAAAGATTCATTTCCATCTGCTATTTAACGCCACTTAAGTCATTCAGTATTCATAGTAATCCACAAAGTATTATCACAGCTCAGATAGTTTTTTCCTTGTAAATAGTACTTAAATCGAATACGGTCAAATTTACTACTTCATTCGCAAATTTGACTACGGACTTTTATCGATAAAATAAAAAAAAATCTCTAAAAGACTACGTTATAAGTTTATCGAATGTAATTTCAATATTATACTAATATACTATCGATAGTTTCAACGGTTTTAAAAAATTTATTTAGGCATTGAAAAGAATATATTTATTATATTTAACAGATAATGTTATAACTCCGGTGCGTGGAAACGAAATATTCGATTAAATTCTGTCTTTATTAAAGTAGAAATATCTTGTATGTTTTATTAATTTACAATATTCTTCAGTATATTACATTCGTAGAATCAATTTTTTTGTCATTAAACATAAGTACAACAAAATCAAATAATGAAAAGCACTGAATCATCGATCATTCTATGTATGTTGTGAACTTGTTAGTATAGCGCTTATCATGAATCATGTTCATAGTTTATTTAAATAATTTGAATGGACATATCTTTTAAATGCTGTTGAAGATTGGAGCTAAAATTTATCAATTACTCATCAAAGAATTGTTTAATTAAAGTAAATATGTCATTAAATTACAACAAATTATGGTATAACAATGACGTTTTATAGAACTATAAGTTTACGTACAATAATCTACATTTTCTATATCATAAGTACACTAAGATTTTCATGTAAGGTATTATGAGTATCAATATCTTACGAATGACACCATTATGTTTATTGGAATTTCCTTTTTAGTAACTTAAGTTTGTAGTAAGAAATTTCAATGAAATTTATCAACTCATTATTGCAATTTGGTATTGGTATCCCAACAGCGTGTATTAGTTGTATATCTTAGAGTATAATAAAATTTATGCTATATCGTTATCTGAACATATGGGAAAATATAATTAAAAAAATTGAGTGTATCCCAATGAAAAAATGATATCGAATCTTGACAGCGCTAGTATCGCATACATCAGAAATAACAATGGAATCACATGAAAAGAAGAGATATACTTTAGAGATGTCATCGATTTGAGAAGATTAGCGCTGATAATGGTTTCTTTATTTTTCAGAGGAAAAACAAACACGCGACGAGACGACCCAAGAGAACAAGAACAAACGAGCGTTCGACGAACTGCGTGCATTGAAGCTGAAGCCTCGCTTTAAGGAGCCGCCGGAGGTATTGCCCGCGCGCGAGAGCCAGTCAATATTATTGAGCTCGCTCAGGCCTCAGCGGCCCTCCAAAAAGCTTAGCGTGCAAATTGATAAGAAGAATGTGCAGTCGACTGCCGTTGGCAAGTCCAGCCCCAGTCTTCCCCAGGATTATCGCTCGTCCTCGTAGTAAATTCATTGGCATAGAGAAACGTTTGTTAATGCTCCGGTAGTGCCTGATTTCGAAAGGAGGACCGAGTGCGCTTTGACTTCTTCCTTCTCTACGTTTTCTAAATATACCTTTTATTTTTATATTTTATCAAGATTGCTACGGCATAGATGCGAGTGCGATGGTAAATAGAATTATTTGTTACAAAAATTACACACGCACGCACCACTCGTGTCGCTATGAAAAGCTGCTGTAGACGATTTTCATTTATTCTGAGCTTCTTTATTTATTTTTGTGAATAACTTTGTCGTATGTCAACTTTGAAAGAATTAATTTGTATACTGTTAACAGATATTAGTAATAATCAACATAATAAAAAGAATTCTTTGAAATGGTACACCATCTGACTAGTTCGAGAAAGTAGATTCTTGTCTCGTGTGAGGTTTACACCCGAACAAAGCGAGGCTGAAAAAGCACACGAGACAAAAATCTCTTTCTTGATCATGGAAAGCTCGAATTTGAATATAGGCGTATTGAAAAATCATCAAAAAATAACGCTTTTGTAGTTATTACACCAGATGAAAAAACGAAAACATATGCGGTGCTTCGTTCTTTTTATCATCGTTCTCAGTGTGCTGTAAGAGTATAATCAAGTCATTATCGAATGTTTTTCTAAGATTTACTTTGTATATTCGTAATTGCGTAAAATTAGTGCGTTCTTGTTACTTACATATAAGTCGATTTTAAAACGCTGAGCTTTTAGATAATATAAAAACGTTCGATTTAAAGTTAAACAATAGATCGTTGTACATAAACATTTTTTCAGATGCGAACTTGTTTTTATCATAAAAACTGACAGTTGTAAATACCATAAAAATACGTATATTTTTTATTCGTTTACAAACATTTATTTTATGGAATATGGATACAGTGGAAAATAATTTAATTTTAATGAGTTATCAATAAGACGATGGTTTCACCTCGGTTATAAGCGTAGTCCTCCTTCAGAGCCTCAACTTAATAACAAATATACTTCCAATGTTGAAGGAGTGTAGACTCAGAAAAGTGTACGTGCGATGTGTATTATAAAAATATCAAAATAGCATGAGAGAATAATGTACAAAGTGTTTTCGAGATATGCGAAAATAGGAAAGAAATATGATATATATGTATATATATGTGTATATGTGTATATGTATATATATATATATATATATATATATATACAGATACATGGAGATGAGTTGATCTAAAATAAAATAATTTGATGAAGCCAACGATCTTGATACCAAAGAAATAGTCAAACGAAAAAATATCTTGAAATAAATGTCTCCTTTTAGAGATTTTATCGTAGCATATCCTAAAATGCATACCAAATCTAGTTTGCAATATTTAAAAAACTGCATAGCATTAGACGAAAATGAAATCCTTAGGTTATATCACCTGTAAAATACATGTTATAGAGATTCGACTGTGTTATAAATAAGTTTACTGTAGAATTAAACTTTATTTTAACAGGAAATAAGATAAGGTAATGAGTCAGTTTTCAAAGTAATTAATATCATATAAATTTCAATCAGGCTTCTTAGTATAGTTACTAAATTTATCTGGAGTGGAAGGAAAAAACTTTGCTATAATTACGAAATTTATATAAAAACAGTCGATAATTGTATTGTTATTTGAGTATGTTCACTATCTTTTAATATCAGGAAATAATTACTTGCTCAGTTATCAGAAAAATTAAAGATATACGGTAAAAAATATAAATTAATTAAAATAAATTCGTCACATAGGGCACATGGATATTCGCAAACTGGTTTAATAGGATTTAATATTTCCAATACAATGAATAATGTAGTAGTAATACCAGGCAAAAAGTTAAATTTAATACTATCAATACAATTATCGGGCGGTTCGTGTGAGATTTCTACGGAGATCAGCAAGCAGTTTGAAAACATCATATCAAATGCTTAATGGATTTGTCTTTACATTATTAAAATATTAATACTAAACAAAATTGGTCAGTCATTTGGCTTGTCGGATGGGTTTCAGTTGTAGATAGAAAAACAACAACTTTATTTGTGTAAGAAAGTATTTGAGTTAAATTCAATTGAATTAAGAACTATCGTATAAATTACGGTATCAAAAGCTGCCCTCAAACTATTAAATGCTTTATACGACATTCACAAAATATCCAACGATATGTCTTAAAGATCGCATAAATATTTTGTATATCTTGAATGTAACTGATATGCTAGTTAGTATAATAGCATATTTGAACAAAGAGGTTTTCTAGGTGAATGATAAATGCACTGTTTTATAGATACGATTGTTACCTTGATGCACTTTGTTATGTAGACGAAAATAGAAATATTTAAACACAAAAATTTATTTACGTAAAATATTAGGTTTACAAAAGAATTATTTTGAAATATAGTTACAATAAATAATGAAAATAATATGTTTGTTCTTATATGTATGACATTTTATTAAATTCTTCACATGTTTTGTTAAACAGTTTAAGAGTGACTCGTGAAAAACATCTTTTAACCGATTAATCACTTTCAAAGATAATAAATAAAAGAACCAATATGCTTCAACTTCACTGTTTTAACGACAAAAGCTACGATATTACCTGAAAGTGAGGTTGATAGGAGATCAAAACAATAAAAGTTTGATCCAGTAATTGCTTAAAATGCATAAAACTCGATAATTTATTTTAAATGAAATTAGTTGAAAGATTAGAAGTAATTAATTTTAGTTTAAAAAATATAAAATTTCAATAATCAAGTTTATTACCAAATATAAAGAAATTTGTTGTGTTTGAAATGACTTCATATTCTTCGGAACCGTTAAAAACATTAAAATCATAAAAATATGAGAAAAAGCATTTATTTAGCAATTAGCAGCGTTTACGAAATGTAATTACGTCAAAAACAGATAAGTAAAATCTTATAGTAGATCAGTTCAAATATGTTGCAAGAAAATGTAATTATGGTATGTGGGTAAATATAAATGTATAACGTTTCAAAAATTTAAACACGCGCGTACACTAATATTTTATAGTTTATTATGACCGTTGAACAAAAAATATTCAATAGTATTTGAATATTGAAATAAACTTCAACTCTTTAAATAAATACTATTTATTAATTTTGCATAGACATAGTAAAAAATACTATTTATTTTGAGCAACTACTGGATTTTGAAACGCGGAGTTTTGTTTTGAAGCCTAGTTTGTGGCTGTTCGCATGGCTGTGTTACTGACACGACTATATAGACATATTAATGATAAATACCAGATACAAATAATTTATACGTATTTAAAAACAATTAATTACATGATTGCGTGGATAGAATATTTAAAGTGTACGAAACAAAAAACTAGTGGAAAAGAATAAGTGTAAATGAGATTACGTTTGATGTTCTATCTTTGCGAAATTCATCAATTTAGTCAAAATGAAAGTAAGGCGGTTTAAGCACAAGCGCCTAATTTGATATAAAATATAAGTCTATTTGCAATTTGATTTCGTACCTCGTGAATGTGTGCCATGTACTTTCACGGTCGGATAAACAGAAAAGTATAAAATGCGAAAAAGTATTTGTTATGTGCAATGACGAAATTATTATATAATATATAATTATTGTGCATTGCAGATAAGCGATACGTGAAAGATTTACTATCGCTTATCACTTGCCTAAATAATAAAAAAATGACTTACATAAATTTACGACTACATTTTGTTTACAAAAGAATCCAATCAAAAAAGTTCGAAAGGTTGAAAAAGGAATGCAAGTTAGAAAATTGTTGTTGCATTTCGATATGAAAATATGTAGATATTCCATATTTGCATGAATTTCTACGTGATTTCATTCAGCATCTAGATCGTTAAAATCTTTATAGTAAAATACTTATTTAAATGATAAGATTTATTGAAGTCAACTTTGGCGTTATTTAAATATGTGAAATAAATATAACGGAAATATATAAAATGAATTTTATATGTGAAGATTATTTTTGTTGCTGTGGGTCTAAAGACTCATAAATTTTGTCATAAAACTTAGAATGAAATTTTCTAATTTGCATAAATTCTTCGCTACCATTCTCACTAATTACACAGCTGCGTAAGAAAAATAGTTATGATCTCTTTGAGGTAAATATTTGTTTTACAGTTTCTCAAGAAGATTTAACTTGATGAATTTCTATTGGCATCAAATTGATGTATAAACTATGTGAAGGCAAGGTGGCTTAACGAAAAGATTCATGAAATTTTTTATGTAACTGCGTCGTTTATGGTAATATGTAATTGAAACTGATAGTTTTAATTACGATCCTAATGAACTCATTGAAATTAATACCCTGTGATTGTTTGTTCGCTGATGAATATTTTTGAAGTAGGAACACGTTATATTTGCAAGTAAATATTTGGTATTTATGGTTATCAACGTGATAATTATTTTTATAAAAGGCTGTTAAATTCATGCAATTGTGATTTGTATATGATAATATACCAAAATAGTATACATTACTTGAGGTATTTTTATAATACAGTAATTTTTGGGTATTACTAAGACCGAACCCTGATAGGATTCCTGTTTATTATTTATTTTTATTTTTGTCAATTTCGTAGATATGTGTACAAATATTTTATACATTATTATACTTTCAAATATATTAAAAAATGCTTGTCTTAATATAATTGTAACGTAAAAAAAATCATAATAGAGATGCAAGCAGCCTTTTTCAAAAATAATATTTATACAAATGTAAATGTAGATAAAAGGGATGCACGCGATACAAGATACGTCGATGTTAGCTAAATATCTGCATAATCATAATTGTTGAAATTTGCATTTCAATTTTCTTTTTGATTATTGCATATAATCACACGATGCTCGTTCTTAACAGTACTGCGGACGTGATTCGTTAACGTCATGTTGCAATATAGAATAAGATATTGTTAATAATTTTCATAAACACGCTTTAAATCGCGGAGGCAAATACACACACACACATCCATATATATTTAAATAATCAAGAATAGAAAATCAGATATAGTGATATTTGATCCCGACACTCGCATAGCATTTAAAAAAAATGACTATACATATATTCATAAATATTCTTAACTGAAGCTATACAATTTATTTTATTAACATGTTACAAATAATAAGAAAGGTTTATTTGTTTATAAGATTTATTAAATATGGGTAAATATATTTCTGTTAAATTTTCTTTTATATTAACTAATTAAATTCTAACATAAAAAGGGGAAATAATTTTTATACAATAACAGCTCACATAGTAATCTTATACTACACGTACGTTTATTAAATAATAGCTGCATTAGTAGACCAATCAATAGAGATTTATTGGCATATAATTGTTAACGGGTAACCGACTATACTTTGAGTTTTATTGTTATTAGTAAATGAAAACATATATATTTTCAACCCGCAATTTTTATTTGTTAATTTTTTAAGAGTGTGTGAAAATTACAAAACGAAGTTTCCGCTTGTAAAACAACTACTGCATCGATGTATAAACTCCAATGAAAAAAAGTTGTAAATAATTGGAAGACCCATAAAATGAGCTATCTCTCGTCTCGATCAAACGATAATTGTTCGATAATTCGTTCAATAAAGGAAATGATTTCAATTAATTTACTTTTATATTTGTCATTGCTTCAAAATTGTTCTTTATTTACAAGAAGTTTTGTTTTTTCACAAATGCTGTTTACCGACTACTTTTGCAATTTTCGTCAAAAATTCTTGACAAATTTTATTGTTATAGTTTCATTGTCTGAACAGCTATCAAAAATTATGTAACTATTTGACTGATAATGATTTTTTGCATATAAAACGTACTTGTTTAGTACACAGTTTTCTCTATTTCTTCATTCGTATTAACACTATTGAAATTATTATACGGTTTTCTTAGTTTTTCGAGTATTACTTTTATTAAAAAATACCAATGCACAATGGACGAGATAATTCATATTCATCACTATCGGATTCAAATCATCGTAAATTTTTATAACTGAAATAAAATATATTCTTTGATGTATCTTCATTTTAGACGATTATTTGTAACGTCATTTAAAATACTTGTAGGTAAAAGTGATACAAATCAATTGTTATTTGAGGACAAATTCATGATTGAAACTTTAATATTGATAACTGCAAAATTTAATTATATATTTAATTTGCTATAATCTAATTATCTTGAAAATAAAGAAAAATTAACAAAATAGCTTTGATACTCTTGGAGATAATTAACATTAAAAACTATTTACGCGTGTACTTCTCTTCTCTGATATTCCAACCTTCAACCGCTGGCTTTTACACTTGGCTGGATTTCGCCCAATGTTTGGCTGCAATTTTCAGCTATTTAAGCTCATTTTTAAGCTTTGGTGTAAGTGCAAATTTAATAGGTTTCAAAAATTCAGTGGCTCTTTAACGGGTAAGCTAAAGGACATTTTGTAAACTCATGTAAAAATCTCATGTAAATGTACAAAGATAAAAATTTATAAAATTTTACTTTTCTGACAAATTTTTTATTTTTTTTTTATTTTTGACATTATTTAAATTATTATAATTCGATTGTAAAGAGCAATAACTGATTTCTAAAATCTTTCAATTACCTACAATTTTTCTTCATTGAAGTATATAAATCGCTACAGTTGTTTTTATATTTTATTTTATACATAAAAGATTACCAAAGAAATATTGCGAGTTGAAAACATTTACGTTTTCATCTACTTAAAACGTAACAATAAACGTCAGATACAATCGGTTACCTGCTAACAATTATGTGCCAAAATGCTTACTTTTGCTCTATTGATTGGCCTATAGGGTAATTATTAGGGAGTGTCCAGTTTCGCGTGTACACAAGACATATGAGCGCATTAAATTCCCCTGGAGTAGCATATATATTGTCGACTCTCGCATCGTGAACAAAGTTCGTGTAAGCGAAATTCATTCCCCTTAATATTACTAACGCCAGTGCTGTGTCACCTTTCATTGCGATTGAAAAAAAAATTGCAGAAAACCACGCTACGCTAACGCTGATAAAACAAGCCAACTTTCCGAGTGTGCGTCAATTGAATTTAGTTCTATGAAGCGTGTGATAAATACCATTATAAAATATGAATGTAGTGGAACTATTTAAAGTATAGAAAAAAAATATCTTCTATACGTAATTTTACTTATTTAGCAATAAAGCCTATTTTTGGTACAAACAAGCGTAACCTGCTTGTAGGTTCAATTTATGTATAGCATAAGACGCTAACCACCTACCCAATGCAACAGCGTGATGTGCGAAATGTAATTTACAAAATTAATTCAAAGAGTTCATTTTTTATTGTAGATACATATTCTGCACAAAACATGCAAAGATTATGCTAAAAAATAATTGCTAATGCAAAGTGGAAAACAATCATTGGAATATATTTCATTTTCCAAAAACATAATAAAATAAAAGGTATTGTGAAAATAAACAGCGTACAATAATGATTCAAGAAATATTAAAAATTTAATATCGTTCTTGCCGGTGAAACTATCTATCTCATTGTGATCTACGAATTTATTAGAAATACGTTGTATTATACATATATGCAGATTTTTCATTACATTGGCAATCTCGCTGTGGCAATATTTTACGATGTATGAGACTTAATGTACAGTAGAGTATGTTTCTCATTTTCCGATGATACTTGTATAAATTGAAAAAATCTATTTAAGAATACATTTGCGCTTGCATACACATATGCACTGTACCTGAAAAGAGAAAATGCGATTTGCCCTAAATTGTATGTTGTTTACTCTTTCACGTTATGGCATACATTATTATTAATATAAGTAATGTTTTTAGTGCGATTTTGTCAAATCATTGATGCATAAGTGTTATAAATGCGTGAAAAACAAATTGGATAATATTTGAAGTTTCAAAATATACTCATGATCAGAAACAATAACATTTGAGTATCTTGTTAATTGTTCCATCTGTTCATATAAAATTGTTATTTCTAGAAGAATAACTAAAAAATCTGTCATCTTATAAATATAAAGATATCGGAAATATTAAACTCTACTTTTTATGACCGGAATGGATAGTGTCTATTGATATTATCAATATAATTCAAGTAAGTATTAAATAAAAGAAATAATGCATATAACATTAAAAAATTTGTCAAAGTATATATAATGATTCGTAACAAAGATAATACATTGATTTGCAGGTAAAATAAATGTAACAAATTTTATCAGATTATAACAATTTTATTATTATAGTAAATAAAATGAAGGTTTACTAACAAAATTGTTAAGAACGAAATTAAACATTTTTTCATATACGGCATGCAGGTTATGACTACACCGTTAACGTATATTACATTCCAATATAAACGAATATACACGTAATTTCGTATATCCTCGTATTATATAGTACATATTATATAATATTATTAGTAAGTATTTTACGTTGTTTCTTGGTTTATTGACATACTGATGAAATAAGCTTTGGTGTAGTTTTTTCAACAAGAAAAAGTAGACTGGCATTTTATTTTTTTCAATAAAAATTTAATGATCTAAATTTGCGTCAAGTTCGTTTTAAAAACTGTTTAATTTTGTATTCAATTTTTTATCTAACGATTTGTTGTTCAGTTTTCTACGTTTAATCCATTTCCAGAATAATGCAGAAGACTTAATGATTCATTATATGTGACTTCTTCAGAGTAACATGTTATAATTGATAAATTTACAATAACAAAATACTTATGAAACAACGGTCTTTGGAATGACTGATCAACGTTAAAAAAAGGAAATTCTTTGTTCAGACTTAATGAGTTCTGCAGTTGAAAGATTTCTCGGACTTTCTTCTTCACTTTTAGCATTTATACCTCTTGATATTCGTTTGGCCAGCTCTGGATTTTTTTTCATTTCTCGAAGAAACCACATTAAAGGAATACTGAAAAAATAGAAATATGTAATTAAATAAAAAGTGATGGTTAGAAAATAAAAAATATATTTTTACTATTATTCTAGAAATGATTTTTACGTTTTAATATTATAGACGACGTATTACAAGCTATAATAATGAAAACAAAATACATCTGATAAAGCAAAAAGTTCAGACATTGAAAATAATTTTTTATTATTTGTGTTTTTGTTTGTTTGTTATATATATATTTGCATTGAATATCGGTTTCGATTTTCATAATAAAATATTCAAGTTCTAAGAAATTTCATTTGATTTTTATAATATTTCGTGAAACTAGATAAAAGATTATGAGAAAAATAAAATTCAACCCGAACCCTTTTTTCACACTATCCTGCCTTCCATTGAAAAGAATATGATAAACCTAACAATTTTCATTGAAATTGCGTTTAATGATAAGCTAATATCAAATGATAAAAATATAGATACTGCAGGTTTAAACGGCAAATCTTTTTAAGTGCCTGATACACCTTTTCAAGAACACTAGAATTAGTATTTTTGAATTTTTAAAAAATTTTAAACTAGATGAAAATATGTGCGGAATTTGAAATCATACATGCTACAGCGGTACGGCATTATGGAATTATGTTTGCGTTATCAGCCAGTAATAATTATTGCAGTGATTTAAACATTCCTGAAAGCAAAATCCGTTTTATAGCAACTATTTTATGCCTCGATAACCGAATTTTACAAATCTTTCCTCGAATTTTCCTGTGAAAAATATATGCCATTTAATCTAGTCCAATATATCTAAACATATCTAACCATATAATTACAATACATCGTAAATTCATTTTTTTAATTCTTTTTAAAGTATACATCATAAATTTTCTAGAAATACGTATAGAAAAGTCAAAGCCGGCTCAAATACTTTTCCCGAATAACAAAAGGACTTGAAAACGCTTTATTTTGGTAAAAAAAAGTCGGATAAGTCCACCTATCTTTTCAATTTTGAGAGTATAGTAACATTTGTAAAACGTTTTCAAAACGAGGCTTTCAGTAAAATTTTTTGCAGCCTAAAATCCAAACGTTCGTAAAACATTTTCAAAACGGTTTTTTCATTAAAATTTTTTGTAGCCTGTATACATCTTGAATGTATATAATTCATGTTTTCGATAACGCTTGTACTTTTCTTATCCTATAGGAGAGGAAACTTTCGAAAAGATATCCATGACGATGGATGTATGGGTAGTGTTGAGTTGATCCGAGTACACATATTATTGACCGTGTAATGTAATTAGATAGACCACGTCTTCATTTTAACGTGATCTAATTGATTGAGCATGCGCTTATGTGCATCAGATGGTCACGATCTTCGCTGGCCTCTTCGAACGAAAGAACAAAAACGTGCGATTAGTAGATATAAGCAGCGAACTATTGTAAATTTAGATGTAAAGGAAAGCGAGAACTGTCAAAGAAGTGCGCGACCATAAAAAATGATGCGATAAAATTTGACACTGGGTCGGCAGTTGCGAGCGTTTTCATAGAAGTGTGCCCGAGTCCGATGAGAAAAAGTCACTTTTCGTTCATCGCGCGCCGAGAAGGAGGATTTCTCGATCGGCAAAAAAAAAGGCACACACTTTATTGTCATCGGACCTGTATAGTTTCGAAGTCGCGGGCGAAAGTTGCATGAGCACTATGAGCAGCCTACGGAGCACGTTGAACGCCATCGAGACCAACTGACGCTGTATAGTGCAACGGGGGAGTGACTCCGCGCCATTGGCGGAAAAGCTAAAAAAGTGACGCCCCCTGCCTTTGGGCCCTTTGAGAGGGGATGCGGAAAACGAGAGAGGAGGAAAACCGGACTCATCGGCTTGGATGACATGTAGACAGGTCACTTCGACGCTTAACGAAGAAGGTCGCATTTTTTGTTTGGCACGCATATTCAGATCGTACAGCTTTGAAAGATTGACCGCGGTGTTTCTCGGGTGGACTGTTCGAGTTTTGGTTGGTTTGGCGAGCGTTCGCAGTAGTTTGTAATTTCTGCGTAATTTGATTTGTATATTTTTGATTGGTTAATAACATTTCACTCGAAAGTTGGCCTCAATTCATTCTCGCTCTATCCTCACCTCGAACAGGCGAATCGACAGGATGTAATCACATTAAGTGGCCGCAGCGACGCAAAACAATTTGACAAATCGTGAGGCAAAGGAATTTAAGCACTCTGGTTAGTCGTACGCCCGCTAGTGAGGTAGATTACAGACTGTTTGAGAAGAACGTCTCTCGGCCCGACGCCGCCTTTTTCTTGCTCTCTCCTCGTGAAACTCTCATCCGCTTTGTTGTAGGCGTTGCCCCGTGGACCCCAAAGGTCGAGCGCATGCGCCCAAACCCTTATTTCTTAGCCGTTCTCTCTTTTCGTTGCTTCCCTCTTCCCTGCTTTAGCTGCTCTCTCTCTCTCATTCTCTCTCTCTCTCCTTGTCTTGCTCGCGGTTTCACGTAGCGGCTTCGGGTTGACCTTGGATATTGAACATCATCGAGCAGGGGCATACGGCCCCGGTCGCTTCTTACCAGCGACCGTGCGCGTTATGCCGAGCAAAGCCGAGGAGGAGACGTACCGCCAATAGCTGCAGCGATCCCACCATCCGGTCACCCCGATAATTTGCATCGCCATAATACTTAACCGGAGGGAGAGATATGGGCGTTGACGACGATAAACCGATCCCCAGCGCTCCATCAGGCGTTCGCTTTCGCTTCGAATCAAAAAAAGGGGCGCACCGACTTAACATACAAGTTCAACCTAAGATTAGATTTAGGTCGCACGCTTACACAAGTTTTGTTTCGCATTACGAACAACAGAGAGGACATCCTTTGCATCCCTTTACCGAGCATCCGTTCTATGACGATTTTATGAGGAGACACTTGAAACCGCTCGCGTCTACTTATCGCTTTGAGCAAACAAAGGAAAAGGACACTTCGTAAAACAAATACAACAACTTAAGATCTACCACGTGGAGCGTAGATGTCGGCCACCGACGGAAGCCCGGCACTAGTTTCGGACACAATTTATGACGGCTAATAATCGTTCGTGTGTTTCTAAATACAGCTGTTTTTCGAACTCATGCCCTGTTCGCAAAATACGATAATGTAGGCGTCAATTATGTCCGTAACAATAGCCTTAGAACCGATCGAAGTAAAGGAATGTGATCGACTCTCGGATCAACCTAACACTATACCCACAGTTCCATTATCGTTGGTACCTTTTCGAAGGTTTCCTCTCCAGGCATTAAAAGAAAAATACAAAACGTTATCGAACCTCTGAATTATATACATTCGCGATATATACAAGCTGCAAAAAATTTTATTGAAAAAACCGTTTTGAGAAGATTGACAAACGTTAGCATACTTTATAAATTAAAAAATGAGTAGACTTATCACACGTTTTAAGAATATTTTAAAAACATTTTTTTTACCAAAATGAGAAAACGCTTTGAAGTTTTCCGAAAAACGTTTTCAAATCGTTTTTGTGTTACTCATGCTTATTGTTTGAGTATCCCCTATACAAAACTACTGATAATTAATCATAAATTAGAAATAAATGTTAAGATATCGCTTTTTGTGTTCCAGTTTTTAATATTTTTACGTAATTAAAAAGAAAATTTCATATTTATCTGTAATAAATTTACATTTTTCAGTTATCAAAGTTAAAAGAACGATTTTTGTTTTATTGTTCAATGTCATCGTTTAAACATAATTATAATGTCATGAATATATTTTTAATACTACAAATGTAAGAAATATTGATATCGTAATTATTTATATATGTCAAGCATGGTGGGAAACATAAACATATATTTTTCTAAGTAATCCCATGTTAGGTCCACTGTGCGTACACACACACACACACACACACACAATGGACCCAACATGGGATTATTTGGAAAAAAGATACATATAACTTAAAAGTACGGTAGCTATAGCTATAGATATCATAAAAAACTAACATGCTAGTCTAATTTGAAACTGTTTTCATAGTATTGAAAACAAGCTTTTTTACTTTAAAAAACCAATTGTTAACCAAAAGTTACAGAAGTTTGCGCATATTTTCCCATATATGGTAGACCTATCTCAGTTTAATAGAAAATTATTCTTTAACACTGATGACTATACCAATGATTATTTTTCAGAGTAGTAGTGATTGTAAGCTTAATTTTTATTATTGGTCATTACTTTTTGCATTGCTCTAGTACCTATTACCAGAATATTATTTTTGTTCAAATAAATAATATCATCTCTATATCTAACTAAATGTTAGATAACCTTATAACTATAAGGAACCAAAACTAATTCGTACAAATAGGTAGTGTATCTCGGCAACGTTTACAATAAACGTAGTTCTTGAAGTAATAATAAAATAATAACGATTTAAACGTGAATTTGTATACTATGACACTCGAACTTATCAGTTATTCGTGTTTTATCATATATCATGCAATGTTTCCTTCTAAAATACTTGGTTCAATTATTATAGTTATAATGTTCACTATAAAAAATATTATATCGTTCATTTGTAAACATTAACATGTAGTTATATATGAATTGAAAAATTTCTTTCTATAATATAATCTAATAACCCTTTGTAATATAACCTAAATATCGCTAGAGAATAAAGTTTCAAAATTGATAGTATTATTAACACATTCTTTTTTCGTACAAAATTTTCGTTCTTAAAAATTAAAAATGATAATTAATTCATGTACTTTTGACGACTAATTAATAATAAAATGAACTTTACGTATAAAATAGATTTGATAGAAGTACATCGCAAATCAAAAATCAATGATTCTCTACTATCGAAGGATAAAGAAATAATATGACTA